AGGTCTGAAGGTGAAGCTGAGGCTGAGGCTGTAAAATCCTTTAAGATCTTGGAAAGATCCAAAGTAGTACCTTGGAAGTCTGTCCTGTCAGGCAGTAGGTCTTCTAAGAGCATAAAGGTGATATCCCTCTGTCCTCCCAGCAGACCAAGACGGAGAAGGGCTTCTCTTAAAGGGATTTGTGGGTGTGGCTTTTGTCTAATGAGTTTAAGTCCAATAGGACTCATAAAAGTATTGAGGGGATTGTATTTGCAGAAGCACTGTAAAAGTAGACTGAAAAGGACAGAGGATTACAAAATTAAAAGACCTTTAGTTCCCTGAACTTTTACAGCGAGGAAGCCGACTGAAAGAGCTACATACCTGTGAACACAAGCTACTTTTCAAGGAAGTAAAAGGTGATAGTAAGGTGGAATCAAGAGTCCAGAGGGTAAAGCAAAAATCCATGAGGTGTTTGCTGGCCTTGAATCCTAATGAAGGACCTACCAATCTATGCCTTGCAGGGTTTCTGTGGATCAGTGACTCCTGTGTACCTTCATTTCTCCACACTTTGAACTAGAATATGTCTAGAGGTTACCCTACACCACTCTATGTTGGATGTGGGGTGGGGGGGGAAGGTAACTTGTCACTTTAGTTCACTGACATTCACATTGAGAGGAACTGTATTCGAGGGCTGTCCTTAAGGATCTACAGGTGAGGAGCCTCGTGTAAACCTGGATCTGGTTTAGATGAGATTGCAGACTTTGAGCTCACCTTGTAAAGGGGGTAGCATTTCCAGGGCTTTGGGAAAGGGTTAGTGTATTTTGCATGTGGGAGGGACATGAATCCTTGGGGCTAGAGAGTAGTGAACTGTGGGACCTGGTCCTCAGTGATCCCACCTCCTGCTCTTTATGTCCTTGTGTAGTCCTCCCTACGTTGAATAGGGCTGGATCCTGAGGAAATAGTGATACAGGACTTGAAGAGATAGGCCAGGAGATACTGTGGGTGCCATCTTACTTGTTTTGGGATCATTCATTCTGTCCGGCAGCCTAATGGAGATGTCTGTTTGGTAAAGAACTGAGGCTTCCTGCCAATAACCAGCCCCAACTTGCCAGCTCTGAGTGTATCATCTTGGAGGTGGCTTCTTCAAGCGCCAGGAAGGTCTTAGATGATTACACTCTGGTCTAACATCTACAACCTAGTCAGAGACCTCCACGCCAGACCCATCCAACTTGGGTTACTCCTGAATTCCTGACCTTCAAAAACTGTGGTATCATAAATGTCTGTTGTTTTAATTTTTTTTTTTTTAAAGATTTTATTTATTTATTTGAGAGCGAGAATGAGAGAAAGAGAGAGCATGAGAGGGGGAGGGTCAGAGGGAGAAGCAGGCTCCCCGCCGAGCAGGGAGCCCGATGCGGGACTCGATCCCGGGACTCCAGGATCACGACCTGAGCCAAAGGCAGTCGCTTAACCAACTGAGCCACCCAGGCGCCCAATGTCTGTTGTTTTAAGCTGCTAAGTTTTGGGATAACTAGCTCTGTAGTGGTAGATAATCAATAGAGGTACCCCAGTGGACTAATATAAACCTGGGAATATTGGTAAATTTTTGTGGATTCCTTATCTTTCCTCAGTTGTGAGCAAAGTGTTCCTGACTCACTAATCTCTCTAATTTACCCTCGCCCCCTCCACCTGTTATGATTAACTTTGTAATTGATTCAAGGCTAAGGGGTGGAGAGGGTTTGGGGGAGAATATGAAAATCTTAAGCCATCCTGCCTTGTCTGTTTAAATAGTCTGCTTTTATTCATGTCCTAGATAAATGACTCTGAAAGGAGCTATTGCTAATCTCCTTTTGTTTTGTTTTTGTGAAGCCACTTTTGGTCCTCAGTGTGTAGAAGAGCAGAAGCTTGGTGCAGGCTTTTGACATGAAGTATTGAGGGTTGGGTTAGAGAGGGCGGGCTTCCCTCCTCTTGCAGAGAGCTGTGTGCCCTAGGGAATGGGGTACAGATCCAGAAACTACTCATTTCACAGATGAGGAAAATGGGGCCAGAAAGGCTGATGAATGTTTCCAAAGCCACACAGTTGGTTAGTGGCCGAGCTAACTTGGAGTCCTGGCTAACAGTCCAATGAGAAGATGTTTCATGCTTGTCCTTTGTTTTTACTTTATCTTTGCTGGCTTCAAGTGCAAATGATCCCATTAATGAAAACTTTTAAATGCTTCCCTTTTAATATGTTGAGTGGGGTATGGCTTCTTTATGTTCCAACAGATACTAAAAGTTTATTTTATAATTTTGTATCTCCCCTTAGGCAACTCTCTGCCTAGGTCTTTTGAAATCACAAAAAATAAATTACCAATGGGCTCAAGTCCAGTAAGCAGGATTTACGTTGCAATTCTGATCTTAATACAACTTGTTCCTGCTGCACATGCTGCTGTGGGGCCTTGTTTGTAAAGTTTGTCTTGAGCATCACTGAACTCTTTAAAAGAAACTGCTTTTTAATGTAATGGCTTTATTTAAAACTAGAATTTAATCATAACCTATTTTTATTGTGTCTAATGAACTATAATCACTCTAGATTTGAAGTGGTTTCTTTCTAAATTAGGTGAATGGGTTGTGAGGCATATGGGGCTTTATTTACTTTTATCAGTAGGTACATATTTGTCAACCGGATGAATGCTATTATGTTTTTAAAAAACACATGAATTATTTTCGCTGTCCATTCAATAGGTTTACTTTCAGTTTAACTTTGTCATAACGTTTTATAACATTTTAAACATTCAGAACCAAATTGAATTTGTGGGAAGACTTTTTTTTCTTTTCTCCTCCTTCCCTCCCCACCCCCTTTCTTTTTGTGGGACTATTTCTAATGGTTTGTTTTTCCTCTTTAGAGATGTGCTTTTCTTCCTGTGAGATTTGGGGTACTAGGACACCAAGCCATTTGTTCTTATCTGCTTCTCTGAAGGCCAGTTTTAGAACTGTTAATTTGAATAATTGAGTAATGAGATAGTATAGGAAATTATGTGAGCTTAACAAAATGATCACTTTTGCTCTTTCTGGAATTTTGCCAACATGTTATTCCCCCCTTTTTCCACTAAGTCAGATCGAACACTTCCATTGAGTTGTTCAACTTTTGACTTATAAATTCTTTTAATCTTCAGACTCTTATTTAAAATGATCATGGATTGCACAATAGCCAAATTATGGGAAGAGCCCCAGTGCCCATCAACTGATGAATGGATAAAGAAGATACAGCATATATACACAATGGAATATTACTCAGCCATCAAAAAGAATGAAATCTTGCCATTTGCAATGACAGGGATGGAACTAGAGTGTATTATGCTAAGCCAAATAAGTCCGAGAAAGACAAATACCATATTATTTCACTCATATGTGGAATTTAAGAAACAAAACAGATGAACGTATGGAAGAGAAAGAAAAATAAGATAAAAACAGAGAGGGAGGCAAACCATAAGAGACTCTCAACTACAGAGAACAAACGGAGGGTTGCTGGAGGAGAGGTGTGTGTGGGGGGGGCTGGGCTAAATGGGTGATGGGCATTGAGGAGGGCACTTGTTGGGATGAGCACTGGTGTTGTATGTAAGTGATAAATCACTAAATTCTACTCCTGAAACCAATACTACGCTATATGTTAATAAACTTGAATTTAAATAAAATCTTGGGAGAAAAAAAAACCAATCATGGATTTCAGCTTTCAGTTGTGTAGTTCACACTGCCTTCTACTTATAGTACACTAAAATAACCTCTCATCTCTACAAATACTTAGTTTTGAATGTCCCTTAGTCCCTAGTAGTCAGTATTGCTTTTCTTTTGCCATACATTTGCTTACCCTTTCCCTAAACCCCCTCACTCTCCAAGAATCCATGCTGTTGAATTTAGCTTCTTCATCCTGGCTTCTCTATCATTCCTTCCCACTCTGCTGGACCACCCTGTCTTTTCTCATGGGGATGAGCTTCTCCATATGGGACAGGAGTAATTGTCTTTCTCCAAGGGGCACGCTATCTTCTGGTTCCTCACAAGCCGTTAGGGAGGTGAGTTTTCAGGAGGCCCTCTCTCGCTACAGATGAGGTGGGGCCAGTGTTTACAAGTGCTTGAACGTGTGTTGGCGTGCTAGCAGCCCATTCTCTTCCCCGAGAGTCCTAATAAAGAGACGGTAGAGTCCCCGTGAGATCTTCACAAGCTCAACCTCCTAAAAGAGAAGAGGGAAGCTCAAGCTGATTCTGCTCACCAAATGTGCGTCTGTAGTAGCCAGTGTTTGGGCAGCAGTTGACAGGAATGAAAAGCACTGGTTTGTGAAAGGAGGATTTTGGTTTTTGAAATTAGCTAGGAGGACAACCTAGATTTTCATTTTGTTGGAGGCAGTTCCTGAAGCAGGTGCAGGGCGGGAATAATGTACCACACCTAAACTATGTGATTTGGCCAATGAACATTAGGCTTCTCCTGGGTCCTATAGTATGGTTTCCCTGTCTGTCAAGAGCCGGCTCAGCAACCGAACCCAGATTCCAGGTGTGGTATTCCACAGTCGTTCTGCAATTTGTAATCATAGAAACAGAATGTTCCTCCTCTTATTTCTTCCCTGCCAACAGTTTCTGGGTGGGTGAATGTCAGTAGCTGGAGTTATTTTTAAAGAGGAGAGGTGAGGCTTGTCGTGCAAAGCTGAGAAGAGGGCGTTTGTTTGCAGAGCAGAGCTGACATCAAAGTGTAGATTACTGCTCAGTGGCTAGGCACTTGTCCTGTAACAGGTAATGTTTAACGTGCCGGTCACAAAGATCACAGAACAGCGTATGCCCGGGCATAAGCTAGCGCTACCGTTTATGCTCTGCAAGACTGAAAGGCTATACATGCCCGTGTAATTAAAAAAAAAAAAAAAATGTATGCATCGGTCTTGCTGCCTCCTTTTTTGCTGGCTGTAATTGGACTTTGAAGCCTAGAAGTTCTATCATAAAAATTTGTACCCTTTGTTTGAGAGAGAGCTCGGCTAAGCAATCACTTTCCACTTCTTTTCACAGGATAATATAAACGTTTTTTTGAAAGCTTGTGAACAGATTGGATTGAAAGAAGCCCAGCTTTTCCATCCTGGGGATCTACAGGATTTATCAAACCGAGTCACCGTCAGGTAAGTTTCACTGGTTTGTTATCTATTTTTTTCAGCTCAGGGCTTGTGGCCGAAGTGCAAAGAATTTCTGAGATTTTATGATTACTGAAAAATTGTTCCTCTGTCTTCCTCTGTTCTCATTCCAAAACTGATTATTTAAAAAATAGCTTAGGGACTATGAATGTGAAGCTGTCTGTGATTGAGACCATCACATGTTGTTATTTTAACTCTCTATACAAACTAAAATGGTAGTTTATAGTTTAATGCTTGTCCAACATGGTAGTGTTTGGTTGCTAATAGTGAGGGTGCATGTTATAGAGTGACTTTAGAGGTTATATTATAGTTTACAGAGTAAAAAGGATGATTTTAATGTGATCTTTATTTTTGGAATTAAGACTAACAAAAATGAGACTGGGACAGTGGTTAAAGAGACTTTCTTTTGTAATTTGGAAGGCAGCGATGCCTGGCACCAACATGGAATGCTAATGACCTTGTCAATTGTGGATGATTTCTAAAAATGAACTGTTTTTCACTATTTTAATAGTATGGATGAGAAAGTGAAAGTGGGGGTGAAAATGTGTGCAGGTGTCTCTGTTGTGTTTTAGATGGAAAATGGTGTCATGTAGGAGTGTATGGTTTCAGGAAATCTGGTTTTAAGCTCCTATGGGATTGTTTTCCCCCCTATAAATCTAATTTGCTTTCAGTGAATCAGAATAAACTCGTGTTACCAGATAATCGTGATAGGAAAATGATTTAATTTTGTAGAAATGACGACCTCTTTATCATGGCCCTTAAAGCTAGTTAATATTTTTTAAAAGGAGAGAATATAAATGCCTTATTCTAGCTGTAGAAATAATAGAAATGGAAAGATTAGTTTCTACCATTTTAGACAAAGATTTAGTTTATATGGTTGATATCCTATTGTAGTAGCTTTAAAGCTTTTTAAGAATTGATGGTAAAATCTTAAAAATGGCCAATAATTTTTCTTAAAGAAAAATAACCATGTGTATAAGTATCACAGAACGCATGGTCTTTTAGTAGTAAAAGCTAGAAGTCCAGATAGAATTAATTCATCTTTTCAAAGCCTAACAGTACATATTTTTAAACGAACAAGCCATTTTGGACTTATATGCTTCCAGTTCTGTTGAATTAGCATTTCTAAACTACACAGCCTTGGTAAGTGCATAGCAGGGATGGGTCTGTCTGCATTTCTGATTAATTGGAAGATAGCTTGTTCCTAAGTTTCATCACCAAAATGGCATGTTTACTTCTGCGGTGTTGTGAGGTCATGCTTGATATCCATGAAAAATAACTGCATAGATGACTTTGTTTTATTTTTCCTGATCAGCCTTCTCTTGAGACTTATCTGATGGGCAGAAAAAGTTTTCACTTAGAAAGTGCTTTATTCTTAATGAACAGGGACAACTTAAGGAAAACACCCGCCCCCCAAATCATACTGTTTTGAAACTCTGTAGCAGATGTTTGAGCAGGCTACCGATTAGGCAAAACATGTTTGTTGGCTTCTATTCCAAGAATGCTCCTAGCAAAACTTGCCTGGAATCTGCTTCATGAGATGTTGGGTGAAAGCGTTTAGGAAAAAAATCAGTACCTGGGCTCAGTCTCAAGGGAAATTAAATCACTGACAAACTGAAACTGGGAGGTCATGTAGTTAGAGCTGGAGTAGGAAGTAAGCAGAACAACTTGTTTCAGTGGAAACCGCAAGTTCATAAAGGTGTGCCTAGGTAGTAGTGGCAGGAAAGCCTGAGAGCCTGGACTCTGCTTAGGAACATTTCCCCTGATAATTCCATCTTGTTGGACCAAAGAGCCCAGGGCTTGACCTTGGGTCTGCCGCAACGGAAGCCCGGGAGCCTCCCGGTTATGAGACTTGAGCGAGTTGACAAATGGCTTATTTAAAAATGTTGGCTATGGCTCTTCTGCCCTGAGATTGCAATTTTATAAAAGGAAGCAAGTTTATGGGAAAGCAAATTATTGGTTACTAAATATCCGTGTATTTCTTAGTTTTTAGTTTTCTTATATAATGCGGAGACTTCGGTAGGTCAGATCTCCTCCTATCATTGTAGATTAAAGGACTTGGTGTTGGTTAGACTAGTGGTTTTCAACTGGGAGCAGTTTTGTTCCCCCAGTGGACGTTTGGCAAGGTCGAGAGATAGTTTTGTCAATATAGTTGGGCTGGGAGTGCTACTGGCATCTTGTGGGTCAGGAATGCTGCTAAATACCCTTTAATGGACAACATAGTCCCCATAACAAAGAATTTTCCAGCCCCAAATATCGGTAGTGTTGAGGTTGAGAAACCCTGACTTAGCCTTAAAATTCCTTATTTCCACTCTGCCAGCAAGCTAATCATGTGGAAATGACGGCTACTGGCTGACTTTACATTCTGCTAAAATGTAACTTTTTACTTATATTACTATAATCATTTATGTATTTCCGTGTTAGCATGTTTGCCCATTTAAAAAGGAAAGCTCATTATCACTTGAATATGCAGTACTGTGTCAAGTAACCTTGACATTATTTTGCTCATCTGTATACATTAAAACTAGCAAAAATGGGGCGAAGTACTCGATTATTTTAAATGCTCTATTGGAGCTCATCTGCTAAGACTGCATGAGCAGTTCGTAGACGAGTGTGATCTAACATGCGTGTTTGTATGACACACTGAAAGCAAATAGGAGAGGACAGTCGATAAACCTCCATGCTGGCAAACATGAGGTATTTCTTGTTAGAGGGCAGCAGTGATTTAAAAACAAAAACAAAAACAAAAAAACCCAACCCCTCTCCCCGCCCCCAAAAAACATGGATGGCCCACGGAGCCGGGAGAGTTGTGTGGGGTGTTGAGGGGCAATGAGGGGCGGAGCAGAGGCAACCAATTTAGAGAGATATTGCTAGT